GGGGGTGCGGCGGTTGGCGACCCAGATTGTGTTTGGGGTGGGGAGGGAAGTGTGGCGGATGGCGAGGTAGTAGTTGGATGGGCCTGGGGATGGGGATGGGGAGAAGGTGAAGAGGCCCAATTGGAAGGTGTTGTTGGGGCTTTGCAGAGTGGTGTTGGCTTGGAGGATGATGGTGGAGGAAATGGGGAGAATTAGAAGGAAGAGGAAGAGGAAGAGCATTGTTGATTGGATAATGATTATAGAGCATTGAGGAATGTGTTGGAAGCAGATATGCATTCTTCCTCTTCCTCTTCCTCCCCCATGCCACTCACTCTTTCTTCTTCTTCCTTCTCCTTTCTAAGTTTCTATGCTCTTAAACTTTTATATGCCCAAATTACCCTTCCAGAGTCCACACACTCTCTCTACTCTCTCCCACGGGGATTCTCATTCTATCGTACCATCTCAATATGCCCAAATTAGTAACGTCACACTGTCCGTCCACAACTATGCATTTCATCTTTTCTTTAATACTTTTTTTATCATCATTCTAATTTTCTTAAATTACGAGTCTCACTGTTCAAATTTTTTAGAAATTAATCATGTTTAATTTATATAAAATAAAACTCATTTGTATGACTTTTAAAATAAATTAAATTATATTTTTAGTTTCTTATTTTTGTTCTTTTAAAATTTTGATCTTTTTATTTTAAAGTAAAGATATTTTTTTTTAATTTTAAAAATATAAAATTTTTCGTCAAATTAACATTTATTAGTAGGTATATTTTAATATTTGTTCATACTTAACTGATATGATATTTAGAAATAATTTTTAAAAAAAAAAGGTATATAAGTAAGATTTATTAACAAAATAAATAGAAATTATTTATAAAATAGATATAAATAAATATTTTTTGTATATTATTTTTAATTGTTACCATCATGTTACTAAACATCACATTAAATAGTGACAGATCATTAAGTTATGATCAACAAAAATCAAATTGATGATAGAAACAAAATTTATATTTTATAAAATAGGATGATTAATATTTCTATTTTAAAATAAAAAGATCAAAATTGAAGATCAATAAAAATATAAAAATAAAAATATAATTTAATATTTAAAATAATTATTATAAAAAACAACTATTTATATTCTTTATAAAGTTATGATTTTACTATACTTTTAAACGTTAAGTATGAAATAATTTTCTTGTTTAAAAAATTTTATAATTAATTGACTTAAACCAACTTGTATAAAATTATTTTAATTTAATTAGAAACGAGTATCGAACTATAATAAATATTAAAAATAAAAGTTTATCACCAATTAGTTGTTGTATCCCACTTGAATAATATAACCTCACATTAAGGATACGGTAGTCAATAATTATATATATATGTGGTCATTTTTACGTTACTATAAACTTCTATGTTTTAAAAACTTAGTTTAAATATATTTTTAAAAGTAATATTTTTAAAAAATAAAATAAAAATATAATTTAGATTACATATACTTCTCTATGTGTGGTAATTTTATGTTACTAGTGCATAAAGTTTTCAAAATAAATTAATTTGACTTATATGAATTGACTCACTATAGATTGATATTTTAAATGTGGTAATCCTATCCAATTCACTTTTTGATAAGTCAGAAAAATTTCAATCTGACTGGACTTACCAAGAATTAATAGATTAGGTAGGATAACCAACCAAGTTGTTTAAAAATAAAAAAGTTAATTACATATTTCTATTTTTAATAAATAAAATAAAGAGTTATAATTTTTATATTTAAAAATCAAGTCTATCAATGATTCAAATGTAAATACATAAAAAAATATCAATCAAAATTTTAAATTAAAATTACATAAAATATAAACATTTTTTTTATAATAAATTTAACAAGTCAACCCAACTCACTTAGACTTGAACCTATTTAACTTTCGAGTTAAGTGAATCAAATTAAGATTTAACCAAAATTAGTATAAATTTTTTCTTAACTTGATCCGATCTAAACATGTGATGAGTTAAATTGACCTATCAAATTTGACTTATTTTGATTTCTTTACTAATATAATTGTTTATCAATAAAGATACAGTAAATACCCATGAAATAACTTGGGGGAAATATAATTATCTTCCTACTTTTTTTTTTTTTTTTGAAAGAATCAATTTTGTAAACTAGATATAATATGTTAATGTTGATTATAACATTACATTAATTATATCAAATTGAATTGACCAAAAAATATAACTTTAGCTCGCACTAAAAAAATATCCTATTTAATTGTTTTAAATTGGTACCCATCAAGAATCCATTAAAATTGAGTCAAATTAATAAATAAAAAAAATGACGGATCTTTAGCACCCCAAATATCTAGTACCACCGAATTGCAGTAAACACAAGCAAACAAAATACTTCATTCCCATATATTCAAATAGATTTTTTTTTCTTTTGCTTTTTTTTTTTTATTTCAAGAAGTTGATAAACAAAAACTTATTTTCTAATAAAGTTAAACTACATACGAATATGGATTTCAGTTGTATTTTTTTTTCTCACAAATTCTCTAATATACTTTTTTTTATAACCATAATAATAGCACGGAATTATTAGTGTCTTTCGTAAATTTTGAGTACACACAAAAAATACTTATCTCAAGTATGTTCATGTTCCAATAAAGATTAGTCACTACTTCCTATAATAAATCCTTTATATTAATATTATGATTAAAAAAATATTAAAGAAATTGTAAAAAATATTGAAGAATAATTAAATCAATTTTAGCATGAAGCAAATTTCATATTTATAGATTTATCTTGGCTGCACGGGTTCAAAAATTCACCAAAGGCCCTTAACAGGGCCAAATTATGGCTCAAATAAGAAGTATTCTCATATGAATTTGAATTCTCACATGTTTTCGAATAACAAAATGTAACTTTTGTTGGAAAAAGAGACAAATATTTTACACTAAAAGGAAGGGAAGAATATTCAAATCCATCGTTACATATGCAATGGAATGAAAACAACAGGATGTCTTGCAAGAAACATAAGTTTATTAATTAGGTTTAGGCCCATAATGTCATCATGCATCGAGATAATCATTTTGCCACGACTGACAACTAATAAATCTTCATTAAAAATTTAGCTTTTTCTTCATAACCAATACTTTTTAGTAACACTCTAGCTGATTCCGATTGTTTAGTTATTTCAAGTAACTTGATATGATATCTCTTGTTGATTAATATATAGTTGTGGGGATGCTTTTATATTTTTAAGAGTTAATCACTTATATATTGTTGGTGTAAAGTTTTTTTTATACTGACAACTAATCAAAATCATTAATAGTATATTTTTATTTGTTTATTTAATTAAATTAAAATATAAAAAATACTATTAATGATTTTGATTGACTCCTCTATTTTTTAAGCCAACCCTTTAACTGATTCACGTAGAATAATTTGAAGTAATACAAACTGTTTATGACATAATTTTACCCCATTCTCTCTATATAAAAAAAAATCTTTCAAAATTAATTATGTTAAATTAAAGAGAGGTAATAATACTGCATGAAATAATTATATAAATAATACTGCATGAATCATGTATATAAAAAATAATAATTTAAATAATGATGCTTTGTCCCCTATATTCCAAGTAACTCAAACGAATTTGAAAAGCTGAATTCGAATATGCAAGAAATTTTACTTGTGATTGTAACGTTGATTGAAATAAAACGTAAAAAAAAAATAAACAAACAATAAGAAAGGGTGATTTGGCTAGAAGACAAATTGTGCAGAGTGAAATGTGAAACAGTGGTGGCAGACAAATGGTCTGAAGTCCACTCATCAAGTTATCTGTTTTCAAAGTATAGGAGATGGGAAAATAATTAAAATAAGGTTGTTTTGAGGAAAAAAAATAAGAATTCTTTTATGGTATGAAATATCTTCTTGTCTCTTTTTATTTATAAGTAAAAAAGTGTAAATGAATAGCATGGGGACCATTAAAATATGGGAAAGCAACAAGTGAAAGAATCGACAAGCATGTTTAACCCAACAAAGAACAACGAGACCAGACCGAAAAGTTCTTACGAAAACGCGTAAATGACTGTGCATGCTGCTGGGTAACATTGGGAAAATAATCACATTTTATTTTAAACTATTTAAAGAAATTTTATATCAATAAATTGAATCATAATTAATTTGTGTAAAACACTTTTAGTCAAATATCTTTTTCTGATTTCCAATCTTTCTTCACTTATTGTTGGGTGCTTCTGTGGAGCCTTGGGTGATTTACACACAAATTATCCTTTTTAACTCGATATACATTATTATTGCAAATGCAAACGTAATTTGTGTCAAATATGAGTGTTAGTGAGACTTACAGTTTGAGCTTGAATGAACCCCACAAAGTCCTCTTCTACTCCCAACCTTGTAGGTTGTAGCTTCTGGAGCTTTTCAAATCCAGAATATTCTCTTATACAAAGATTATACTAATGTGGAAATTTTCGACTTATCACATAAATTAATCTTTATTTGAATTAAAATGGTATGCATTAACTCAAATTAATTTATGATTTTTATATTTAAATTTTTTTAATTTATATAAATTACGATGACGTCAACATAATTCAAATCTAAGAATATGTTCATATTATTGTAACATTTTATTATTAGATCAATATTTAAATTGTTAAAAACTTTGATAGTTGTCATCATTTTGTTTCTACTATACAGTACATTCTTGGGAAACTGTATTACATAATGCAAACAAAAATTCTTACTTTTCAAAGCATAAAATAAGAAGTAAGAATTTGTTTTTTTTTCACAAAAGTTTGGAAGGATTCTAATCACAAAACAAAGTTTTTGACAATAAAATTGTTCATAAACACTTTTGTGATGATTTCAACTTGAAGTTGATTTTAAAAAAACTTTAATGTAAAATTTTTTTATTTAAAAAAATGTAACATTATACTTTGAGTCAATATTTCTCTTAGCTAGTTTATATTGTGTTTATGTCTTGAGTAAGTTAGAGATTCCTAAAAGTTGAACACTTTTTTCTTTTTCTCTTAGTTTCAGGAGGTCTTAAAGTTCAGTTGCTAGGGGCTAGATTATGCTTCAAACTTCTAGAGCTTAGGATTCATGGGGTGGTGCATAGCTTCATGAAGCTAGTTTCCTTCTTCCTTCCTTTTCTTCATTTTGGCCGGCTTAGAGTCAAGATAAGGGAAGCTACGAGTGTTTTTGGTGATTTTGGCTGAATTATATGTTGATTTGACATTATCAAATGTTTCCATTTTGAATAGATTTGTATTAAATGTTGTGTTGGTTGGGTTTTGGTGCAAAAGTGGAAAAATGGTGAATAGATGAATTGATTTTGGGATTTGCAATTACAGAAATTCGGTGTCGTGCCAAGCACACATTCATGGTGTCGAGCGTGTCTTCAAATGAGGGTCTCTATTAAATTACATCGAATGCAAAATTAGTGGCACCGGACATAAGGAGAGAGAATTCACTCAAGTTAAAGTGATGTTGGACATGGTTTGAATGTCGTTGGATGTAAGGTGAGAGAAATGCCTTTACCTGGATTGACGTCGAGCGTGAGGAGAGAAAATCGTCTCGGGTTGGCGTGCGATTGGACGTGGGATTTTTCTAAACTAGGTGTGAGGTCCCTAGGGTTCTTTACCCCGGCCATGCCAGACGTGGGATGAGTAGCGTCGAGTCTGGGCAATTCAGAGAACTCCTTACCTCGATTGACATCAAGCACAAGGTGTATTGCAAGTAAACCATTAAAATATTAAATTTTAAGATGATATTCATTGACGATTTTCCTTTATTTTATTAATAATACTTTGACAATAGTTCATTTTTTTATTAAAATGTGGAGTAAATAGGAGAGAATAAAATATGCACAATTAAAGGAGAAAATGTTGCAAAATTGAAGTTTGAAGGTATACACGATTATGCTTCACTAATGTACAATCATTCTTCAAATGAAGTATGCCCCACATGCACGACCATGGTAAGGATGGCTATGCTCAACAATATGCCCTTTAGGGTGTCTCGAGCATGCCCTCCTTTGAATGAAATAGGCTTGTGTTTGGTGCCTACACTGAAGCATGGTTGTGCTCACTCTTATGCATGGTCATGCTTATCATGTGCACGACCATGCTTATGTGTTTGTCCTGAATTTTACTATGTATAAATAGGGATGTCCTGAAACACTGTAGGCATCCATTGTTTTCTATCAAATTTTCTCTATAGTTAGTTTTCTTTTATGTATTTGTTATTGAGGTTCTGTAAAAGATAAAAGGTCAAACCCTCGGTAAAGGATATTTTCAATTATGGTTAATTCTTCTCTTTGTTTAATGGATTCTAGTGCCATGTGTGGCTAGTTCTCTCATTTTAGGGTTGTGATATGATTATTCCTTCAGGACCCCTAATGATAAATTCATGATTTTTTTTTCTTATCTTAAATTGTTGTATTATTTTATTGTTTTCAATTCTTATTCTAATTAATTAAAAGTTACATGATCAAACTTTTTTGATTAGCGAAATCCTAAAGTAATAGAATTATTGTAAAATTGGCATGATCAAGCTATTTTTATAATTTCTAATTGAATTAAATTATTAATTCGCCTTTGCCTTCACATGCTTTATTTTTTGAATAAATCACTTAGGATCAATTTGGTATGATTGTGGTGAATGTTTGAATTGTTTGGTGTTTAGCTTCCAAACATGTTGGTTGCTTTGTTGAATTGGTGACTGTTGTGAACCATGAGGTATTTACCGTTGATTCATATGTGGATATTGCTAGTAGCATATATGTTTTCATTTTATGCTTGTTTATTTTTTAAATTTAACTTACTTTAGCATGCTTTCCTTGTGATTAGAACTACAATGATCATGATTTTTATAGGAACAAGGCAAGGTTAGTTGGAGTTGAGCTGTTAGAGCTTTTGTTGGGCCATGTTGTTGACGATGTAGTTTTTGACTACTTTTGTTGGTTTGTATAAACATTACTTGACCAACAACTTAGAGTTTTATATGTATTCGGTACTCATCGAATTACTAGACATATACTTGTATATTTTTTTTAGTTGTATTTACATATATTCATGTCATGGTGTACATATCTCAATATTGTAAGTATATAACCCTAAGTGGTTAATTGTCTTTTCGCTGCTAGTAGCAGATGATCCATAAGTGTGTGACCGTGGTGGGTCGTTAGAAAAAATACCATGAGTATCCTACAATACTAAAAAAACTAATCTCACTCACAATAATGTGACTATCATTGACCTAAAGGATTTTTGTACATAGTAAGGATTGAATATGAAATTTCTTGCTAAATAGATCATCAACGTCTTAGTGTAGGATATCTAGCCACTACGGCAAATTATTGAGTTTTTTTTTTAATTTTATTTGCTATAATATATGTTAATTAATGATAATTTATTTTAATTTTTAATATCTAAAGTTAATTTTATACTATTTAAAAAAATATTTATATACATTAAATCTTAAATACATCACTAAACATATGGATTAACATGAGTGAAATCAAGTTTGATTAGTAATTTTATACAATTGCTTTAAATATTTAAAAGGAGAGTTCTATCCCTATATTGATATTATTTTAATTTGATTATAATCAAACCCTATATATTAAATGGAATGACTACTTGCATGACAGTATTTTTAAGGACCATTCTTCGATGCAAAAGTTTTTAGGGATCCTTTAAATTTCTTATTTAATTTAATTTTTTATTTATTATATTTATTTATGAATTAGTTTTAATATATTAGAATAAATTATAAACAATTAAAAATAATATAGTATCATAATATAAATTATTTATCTTAAACATAAAATATCTATTTATATTTTATTTATGTATGATGAATATTTAACATTTGAAATATCCATACTAAAATATTAGTATAAAATCATCTTAAAACTTTGCGATGCATTTAAAAGTACGAGTATAAAAATTAATTATAATACTTTCTAAATGTTAATTTTATTATTTGCAATTTCCACAGGGTGCAAGCAAGTTCATCTGGCCACAAAAGTCCAGCTCAACTCACCAACCACTCTAGCAGGCCCATTCACAGATTGCTAAAGAAGTCAATCAATTCAGGTTTTGACTTATGACTATATTTTGTTTCTTATCCTATTCCCTACCATAGTTGCTACAAAGTCATTGAAAGTTATGTACAAAAAAAACTATGTACCAAATAAAAAAGTCATTGAAAGTTGTTTTGTGGCAGCTAATTCCAGCTTCACCAACGGTTTAGGCCTTAGGGGTTTGATTTGGCAACGACTTTGAAATTCACTTGTCATTATTTGTTTATTTTCCAAAGTTTTTCCCCCACGTTATTGGAAAAATGGTTTTGATGATGATATGTTCACGAAAGAAGAATGCCAAGAAGAAAAATTGCTGTTATTCCGCATGCTTATCAATAAATTACGATTTTATGATCAAAACATCATCATTAGCTTTATATTTTACAATCGCCACCTTTGTGTCTTTTCCTTTTTCTTTCTTAATCAATCAAAACAAGTTATCATACCCCCCAAAGATTCGAGACTCCTATGTGGACTAGGGTTTATAATGCCACTAACTAAGGTATCGTTGTTTCCTATTTTTAAAAATCATTTTTAGATTTCAATAAGAGTAGTTTTTAAAACTAAATCTTTTTGGCTTCTAAAATAAATAAATAAACCAAGTTATTTTAATTTATGTTTAGTTCCTATAGTGTTTTTATTTTGATTCCTATAAAAATTCTCGAACAGTTTTGGTCACAATATTTTTTTAATCCATTAACAATAAATTTTTGTTGTTAGTTTGATTGTTGACATGAAAAATTGTAAGCACTTTTAGTCCTTACAAAATCGTAATTTTTCATTTTAGTTCTATAATTCTTATTTTATTAGTATCTTCAAGGACAAAAACAATAGGATCATAATTTTATAAGAACTAAAAGTATTTTTCTTTTTCAATTAAACGACAAGAACTATATTGCTAACAGAATTTTTTTTTTCTTTTTGAAAGAATTAGAAGTGCTCATAAAATTATATAGGGACTACTAGTCTAACATAAAAGCACACACTATTTTTATAAGAGTAAAAAACATATTACACTTATTTTTTTTCAGTTTTTATTCCTCATATTCTTTATTGCATTGCTTCATCTTCTTTCCTCACTCCTACAGACTCTCGAATAATCTTTTTTTGAAAATAATTTTATAAATTATTTTAAAAAACACAATCAACCAGGCCCTAACATTTATTACTTCAATGATGGATCATCCAGTACTGCCATCATCCTTTAGAACAAGTTTCTTATATCATATGTTATGGTAGTCAATAAAGGTAGGCAGAGTAGGCAAAGTTCATCCTTGACAGTACTAAACATGAAAGGGAAAGAAGAGGGCTCTATCAATCGATGGCAAAGAATTTAAGAGGGGTAAATGGAAAGGTTGTATGGCTTTGATTTTATGCAATCAATAAGTTGGGAAAGTAGGGTAGGGAGGCATTGATTGTGCCATTGACATGTTGAAAAGATTGTGCTATTTGTTTAATTCACTCACTCACGTGCAGTTTGGAGTTTAGACTAAGCCAACTATCGACACACATGCACACAGAAAGACAACTAGAATGGCATCCAGAACTGTGTGGATAAATTTCTTTAGAATTTTTTTTGAAAAAAAAAAATAAGGAAAAGTAAAAGAATTTTTTTCCATAAAACTTATTTCTTATTAATGCATAAGCTAATTTTACCTATGGAAAAAAAATTTATTTTTCCTTTTTATCTTTTTCCTAAAAATGTTTCTGGAGTTATGGAGAATTTATCCAAACAGACCCTATATGTCTTGCTTACTCTTTACAGCATCTCACTCCCACCGCCAGCAAAACAACAAATTAACATCACTGTCAAACAGAAAACCAGCATAATCTACATTGATTAACAATGTTCACAATTACCCCTTTTGCCACCAAGCTGAAGAGATTTCAATTGAAAACACGGGTTCAGTGTATACAACAAAAGATGGGATCTCCAACATCCACCATAATATATACATTGAAAATGTGGCAACATGTAAAGCAGACTTGATTTACAAAACCGGTATGCACTTTTTTTCTCACAGAAAATAACATAGAAAAACAAATAAGTATTGAGAAATTTGTACAAGAATATGGAGAGGGAAGCAAAGCAACATGGGGGGAAGGAGGAAAGCCATTCTGCGAACATGAATTTCTTCATCTTGAGAAAAGCTGCATTCTTTCACTAATAATAGGTAAATTCCAACATGAGGAGTTGCAATCAAATTGACATGCAATGTGGTGTAACATTCTGTCAAAACCTTCTCATTCTTCTTCTCACAGATTGTACACCCAATGAATGGGCCCACTAAAACAACGACCTTTTAAATGCTCTAGAAATTGAAAATGAATTTGTACTATCTTCTAACCAGCTATCAAACAATGAGTTTTTCATCTATCTTTCACGCATTAAGCAAGCTCCTTTTTTTAACACAACATAACTAGTCCAGTGTCTGGTCAAATATCATCTCCTGTAACATCAGAAGGAAAAAAGTATTTTACTATAACCCAGAAAGATGGTATTTTATTGTCAACAATAACCAATATTGCACATTTAGTAGGATCTTCTGGAATTCATTCACCAAAAGAGGAATCACAAAACCACCCTCATTTCGTTATATAGTTAAGGAAGGATTGATGCAGAAAGCCAAACCTGATCGCATATAGGACAAGAATCACTTCTTTCCATCCACTCGAGAATGCAAGACAGGTGAAAGTGGTGTTCACATTTTGTCAGAGTTTTAGGATTCTCAACATCATATTCTGCATTAAAAATAAAAATATCAAAAGAAAGTTTCCAGAGAAAGTCAGAACTTATTGGTCTTCCCCTGATTCCTCAACTGAAAAATAGAAAATCTGACTTTAAAAGCAAATTTCTACTAACCTTCAAGACAAATTGGACAGCCGTCCTCTTCTTCCGTCACTAATGCATGAAATTCAGTTGATTTTGACAGTTCTGCCTTGCTTGGAGATATAGGTGCTGAAATAGCTTTAGCTTTACAGTGAGCTTCTTCAAGATCTTCACATGTAATTAATGTTCCAAAGCTACTGCCACTAACTGTTTCTCTGCCTGATTCAGAATCTGTTGATGCTGGACCTCCCAAGACCACATCATAAGGCAGAGGTGCAGGAGGCGGCTGATATGTATCAGGTGTGGAAGTTTCTAAGTTCAAGCCTACCAGCAATCCAGTAGTGAGTGAAGCAGCCACACCGTCATTAGATGTCAAAGACTCATGCTCTTCTAAAGTTGGTGGGCACTGAAAACAGGAGTAGTATAATATCATACGTTTGCCATCGTCAAATACTACACAAGGAAACAGATTATTTTTCATGAAGCACTTAATTTAAAAGAGAACAATGAAAACAATCAAGATAAACCACAACTCAGGCACCTCCTCATCTGACATCCCCCACAGAAACCATTCAAGCACGGGGAAATGCTGCATTGTTTCTCTCACTCAAAGTTAGAGAGAGAAGAAGCCATGGATACTGTGGAAAGAGTTATAAATTGCATAGAGACCATCTATGACACTTTTGTTTAACCTCCTAATAAATCTTTGCAAACTGCAAAATAATAATGAATTTGCTCGCTTGTACTCATTCTTCTCAACATACCATTACCAATAACCAAGTTCAAGCATAGAAATTATCAATACGAAGGCAGTTATTGATTTTACTTCCCTTTCTTGCCATTAAACTTTGTAAGAAATTAAAACAAATAATAAAATAGGACTCATTTAAATAATAAAAAAGGGAGAAAAGATGTGGATCTTTAATAATCTTTCATTAATTTGCTTTCTCTCGCAACTTACCGTACCTTTTTCCCAAGTTGCAGCTTTTTACAATCACTTCAAACATCTGTGAACAATGAACTAAATTTTCTATCAATTCCGTAACCATGCTCAACTTTCTTCCATCACTTTCATTCCTTTAAGCAATGACTACTCAGGAAACTTTTTGATCATTCAATTGAATGACAACACAACACCAAGGATTATCTTTCTAAATGCTTCCATGCCTGGAGTAAGTTTCTATTTAGTCAAATTTAATTACCTTGTTTCACTTCACTGGTCTACAAGAAAAAAAAAATTTTTAAAAAGGAAAATAAAAGTAGTACAGGTCCAAAGTCCATTGATTTATCAGCAACTTTGATGTATGCCTACATTTAAAATAGTTACTCATAATAACACCTGTTACATTAGCCGTAAGTTAATGTAAACATGAAAATAGTGATTTTGTAAATGAAATATTCCAGAAGTCAGATCTGGTTGACATGGATGGTCACCAATAGCAACCTTTTAACGGGAAGTTGACAACAAAATAGTTTGATTTTTCCTTCACTCAAACATGACTTGTGACAATGACAGAGCGGTGAAGGAGTTTGAAAATTGGGTGTAAAAACTAAGAATGCAGGAGGAATAGAGGAGTAACAGATTCACTTAGTTGAACTTGAACAATTACAGTGACTTTAGTTTCCCTTGACTTTATTATGTAAACAGAGTCTTACGTGTTTTTGTTGAACAGGACAACTTACGAGATGAAATCCCAAACTGAATGAATCATCAATATTCAATAATTTTTACAATTAAATCTAAAACATGTTTTTATGGATCAATTTGTTCTGAGTTTGTAAGCATGTTTAATGGAATGGAGCGAGAGTGACTGATAGCTATTAGCTACATTAAAAATAAAAAATAAAATAAAAAAAACTCAGTAATAGATTTGCATAAAAGACGGAAAACAAGTGAGAGTATTATTGACCGACCTGCTTGTTATTATTTGATCCAGGGACCCATCCAAGTGTTTCACAATCGGTACAGCAACAAAATATATGCAAGTTTTCATGGATAAAACTTACTAACAAAAACAGGAAGAGAAGAGATTAAACTGAGTTTGGAGCTCTGTCATTATTTCTCTTTGGTTTGTTAAAAACAGGCCTTCTTTAACCTTTTTTGTTGTTGTCTGAAGTCATAAGGGGGCTCATTAATTAACCGGCAGAAGAGAGCTAAAGGAGAGAATACTATACAAAAGAGATGAGAAGTATCACTTAGAATCAATACATGCACTTATTTTCCATCATTAGTCAATTTTATTCGGTATTATTTAAAGGGTTTATAGCATGTACTAATAGTGAGATTATTACATTGATGCTTATAAGCGCAGCCATATATGTGATACATAAGCTACAAATCAGGTAAGAGAGAATAGAAAATTACTAACATAGTAATACACTGGTGTTCCATGCAGGTGAGGTTTCCTAGCAGAACAACAACAACCTCCCATTTTCCAGCTCTCTTTTTCTGTTAAATAATCAAACCATCCAGTGATAAGCTCATTCTCGTCTAATATTTGGAATCGCGAAAGGATCAGAGGCCACCAGACTTTATGCATCCATTCTGCTACCACAAGTCAAAAAAGAGTACACAAAAATATATGTCACATTAGAAACAAACTTATATCCCATGAAATCAGAGGCAACTTAAAATTATGCAAAAAAACACAAAGTTAAACAATCAATTACACAGTTGTAACAACCAAGCCCTTCATTTTGAGAATTGAATAACATAATAACAAGTCTGTTTAGATACAAATTTATAAAAGTTTTTTAGAACTTCTCTAGTGAAAATAATGAGTTTTTTTTCCCGTAAAGAATATCATAAAAGATATAGATTATAGTACAGTTGAAGAAAGGGACAAATGCCTTAACTCAAAACCTCATGCCCATTTTTCAACCTAATCCATGATCATCCCAATTACATATCACTACACAATTAGCATACAAACTTCAACATCAGACAAACTCTCCATGTCACAAACCAATCCCCAGAATCAATATGAACACAGTAGCAATCAGACAACGAAATCAGCCGGAATACCCAAAGAGACGTTGAACAAACCAGGAAAAGGGTCGAACAGCAAGAACCATTTGAATCAAAATTGAGGACATAAACCCTAAAGTTTAGTGTGGAAAAGGAAAAGAATTTTTTTTTATTTTATAGGGGAATAAAAAAGGTAGCTTATGTGGGAGGTGGGGATGGGAAATGGGTTGGAGGAAAAGAAAAGGGATAGAGCATAGAAGGAGGTTGTGAAATTGAGAAGAGTGAAACTACCTTAATGATTCGATACGTTGTTTGTTACTTTTGATGTTACAGTGTTGGTGGGGTTGTCCACATTCACATTCACAGTGTATGCGCTCGCTCCACTCATTTCTGTGTCGTAAGGAACTTTGTCGTTTGTTGGCTTCGGAATTCGGAGCCTACAACTCCATTACTAAAGTCAACTCAATTTGCTTAACCGTGAACGTGAACTTCACTCAAATAAATATTATAAATTATAAATAATTATTTAAAAGAATATAAGATTTTTTTATATTCAAAAAATATAATTATCCACTAAAAAATAAAAATTAAAGAAATGGTTACCAAAATATATTTTCTTTATAATATATATAGTTTTAGTATCTCTTTGTTAAGTCCTAATAACATAAGAGGAGGAGGAGAGTCACAAATCTTAAGAATTCATCCGATAAAAATAAATAAAATAATAGTGTAAAAATGTGTACTTATTTAATAGAGTGGGATAAATAAAAAATAAAAGAAAATTAATATTTTAAATTATATTTTATATTATTAATTTTTTATATAAAATAAATAATATATATATATAACTATTATTTTATTCTCTTTTTACAATAGTTTAGAAATTATATTTTTTTAATATATACTATCTCTATTTTTATTTATAAGACTTAATTTAGAATATTTTTTTTATATAAGGCTCAATTCATATCATCTCACATATTAATTATTTTTAAATTAAAATAGTTTTAATTAAAGTGTATTTTCTTAATTTGATAAAATATATTAATTATAAATTATTTAAAGAACATACACTCTAATTAATTAAAAGAAATATAAATATGAATTGGGAAAGATAAATAGTATAAGATATGTATTTTAATTAGTTAAAAGATATGTGTATTAATTAAGAAAAATAAATAATATATGTGTAATTTTAAGATAAAAATACATAAATAGAAAACCAACTAAATTAACTAATTTTTAAAATCTTGATAAATTAAATAATTGTATCTTATATAAAAATAGAGATAGTAATTAGCACAATTGATTATACTATATGGCATAACCAATTATGCTATTGTAGTCGTTTCAGCAGTAGGCATATAATAGTTTTTTTTTTTTTTTTTTGATAGGCAAATGTTAGTAGTTAGTAATTAGTAGTTATCTCCGCTGGGTCCTAGGGGGACTCGAACCTCCATCCTGCCTTATCCCTCCAGCCCCAGGACCACCTCCTTTTACCACCAGACCACCTTATCACTCCTAGTAGGCATATAATAGTTATGTAATATATTATCATGCAAACATAGACAAATATGTTACTTTTGATCTCACATTGTTGTGTTGGTGGGATTGTTCATATTCCTAAGTTACATGAGTGTGGTTGAAACAAACAAATAAAAAAATGTGAGAATAACTTTATAATTGTAGGTGAAAGTTTCACGCCAATCATCTCATATGGGTATAAAATGCAATTATGAGATTCATCTCTAATTTCTCATAATTCACCTTAAATATCGCTCGCCAAAATATGAGTGATTTATTTTAAATTCTTCCCCTTCATGTTATATCGGACTCATCAAACATTGGGTCAGAGTGAATAATAATTTTGGTGCCATTAGAGCATGTTTTGAAAATCTTTTTCCCCCACCAATTCAATTGTTTTTGAAAGAAAAAGATGTTTGATAAAAAAAATCTTACATCAACTTAAATTTGTAAACATTTTTTTTAATTTGATATTTTTCAATAATTTTTGTTTTCCTACAACTAATTTACTACATAAAAAATTATTTTTATTATATCCAAACAAAATGTAACATATTAAAATCACTTTTCAATAAATTTATTCAAACAAAAATTAATTATAATTATAATTAATTATAATTATAATTAATTATTATTATAATCAATTATGTATATAATTAATTATTGAAATAATTTAATTTTTACAATTTTTCCAAACACACTCTTAGTATTGGATTTAAACTTAATATTTGTTTATGCCACTTTTGTAAATGTCGAGATTTTATGAAAATAATCTAAAAATCGGAGATTAATTGTCGTTATACTTTGGCGTGGATTTTTAAACATTAAATTCATAATGATACTAATTTTAAATATAACTATTTTTTTTTAAAAAAATTAAATATATTTTTAGTTCTTAGGGCATCTCTAATGGAAGCAACTCATTTGAGTTGCTTCATGCATTGAAAAATGAAAAAAGTGGTCCCAAGTGTGTCATGTCAGTATTAAACAACTCAAACACAAATTTACTCCAATGGTAAGAAACTTTAAGAAATTCAACTTTTAGAATTTTTTTTCTAATCATTTATGAACCAATTTTAAATTTTTATTAAGAAGGATAATTGCACTACAATGAAAGAAAATAAATTACGAGAAAAAATATACAATAAGTAGATATTAAAAATAAAATAAAGCAATAGTAAATACATAGACATTATACAAAATTAATTTTCATCATTATTATTTCTGAAACGTTCCCAAATATGTTTAGAGCAACTCTAATAAGAGTTGCTTGTCCCATGAAACAATTCAAACCCCGGTTTCTTGCCATTGGAGGACTCTGACGTGGCAACATGAGTTACTTGAAATCTGGTAAGGAACGGTTGCTTGAGGAAACAACTCTCTCTCTTCTTCAAGCAACTCATGTTGCCACGTCAGAGTCCTCCAATGGCAAGAAACCGGGGCTTGAGTTGCTTCATAGGACAAGCAACTCCCATTGGAGTTGCTCTTAGTGTCGATTCTTTCAAATTTTCATCATTATTATTTCTGAAACGTTCCCAAATATGTTTAGAGCAACTCTAATAAGAGTTGCTTGTCCCATGAAACAATTCAAACCCCGGTTTCTTGCCATTGGAGGACTCTGACGTGGCAACATGAGTTACTTGAAATCTGGTAAGGAACGGTTGCTTGAGGAAACAACTCTCTCTCTTCTTCAAGCAACTCATGTTGCCACGTCAGAGTCCTCCAATGGCAAGAAACCGGGATTTGAATTGTTTCATGGGACAAGCAACTCCTATTGAAGTTGCTCTTATAAAATTAATAAATTTTGATATTCGCTTCTTTAAAAAATATATTTTTATTCTCTAAAATTTAAAATTATATTTTTGTCTTTACTATTATGTGATTCTTTTTAATTATTTATGTTTATATTAGAAAGTCAAGAAACAAGTGGTGTCCAAGAAGTCAAGAGGTAAAAAATTTGTTAGTGTAAGACTTTTAAAATTTTTAGATCCTTAAAATAAAATTTTTATATATCTTTAAATGATCATTAGAAGAAAAAAAAAAGTTGACTTTAGATTTAAAAGAGATGAAAATCAATGAAAAATATTTTACTAGGATCAAAACCAAATTTCGCTTATTTTACTATATCAAAAATAAAGTTTACTAAAATTAAAAAGATGAAAAACAAAAAAAAATTACAAAGATAAAAATTAAAACTTACTCATTTTACGAGAATTAAAAAATTATGTAATCATGTATGTGTTATTACATTACTCAATAACTTTTAATTAGTGATATTATTAAATATAACAATCAGATTGATTTAATTTGCATCTTATAAAAAATTATTCAAAGTATCATTTGTAACAACTCATTATGGTCACTATACTTAATGGATCGATTATTAACAACAAAAACAACTAATTACTTAAGATTAATATATTCACATCACCTTAATATATCTACCATTATATATATGTGTGTGTGTGTGTATATATGTATGTACAGTAATCCATAATTTTGAAATAAAAATTTTAAGTTGTTGGTCAAGCAACTACAACAAAACTATATATTATCACCAATAGTAGCACCAAGCCACTCGCCAACACTTTGACTCCAAAAGTCATCATCATTCGGCCTATCCTTGCCCTACATTTATGTAAACATAATCATCATAGTCTAACCACTAGAAAACATGTAAAGATAAACTAGATTTCAAAAGAATATTCATACAACAGTTATAGAAGTAAATACTATTCTAATCACCAACACAGACATGTAAATCAACAATAAAGTACCTCATGATCTACAACATATCAACATAACAAAACACCTCAACATGGTATTCAATACCTTACAAAGGTAAACAATAATTTCATCAATACACTAACAACCATGTCATTCAATAACTAAAGCAAGCAGCATATGAATAACATCAAAATCACCACATCATATACCTAACGCCCCAATTAATACTTCATCACACATTCACTTATAGAGATCTTCTAGAACAACATGAACACTCTAAGCGACTTGAACCTACCAAACCAACATGACCTTTTTACATCTACTAAGTCAACAACTAAATTGGGATATCAATCCCTAATATTGTTTCTCAAATGTCCTCACTTAAACTAGGAAATATAAAAATTTTGTCAGGGTAGAAAAATTTGGGTATGAATTTACCATGACATTAGTTTGTAACACTAAGTTTTTATGGAATTAGTCCACTGACTACTCTCTAAATACTATGCTCCTTCAGTACTTAGTTAGGGACTAAGTCCCTGATCTTGTATTTTACTTAGTTGGTAACTTTATATATGTATACATAAACCTTGTCCACATACAAATCAACTTTGGTCACTTGCAGTTGGTATGCCTTGACTAGCCCACATACCGCATCAACTAAGATCCTAGAAGAAACTTAACAATCCACTCCAAAAGATAACACCTACTAAAGGAAGGTTTTTCAGCAACTATAGGCTCGTAGAGCACCACACTAATATCCACACAATGGGATATCTAACTTTCAAAAACCCTAAACCCTAAACTTTCAAAAACAACATCTCTTCCAATCCTAAATCAATCATCATGCCTAAATGCTTATAGCATTCTTATCATCACACCTCAACAATGTTCAACTATATGCATTATCTCGAGTCAATAGATATAGATCTAACAACATTAATCAATTTATAACATAAATGCACCTCAACAGTTCAACCATGTAACCAGTTACATATATTATCCAAGATCAATATACATAGGCCCTAACCACACCTAGCAACATA